AAGTATTTTGGATTATTGATATTATACATCCTAATCAAAAACATGCAAAGGAAATTAGGTTATACATATGTAATTAATAGTTAAAAAGCTAATTGCTTTACCTATAGAGAGATTTTCCAATCCAAACATCATTTTCGCCATAATTTCTAATGTATTCTTGAGCTTCAAGCCTTGGAAGACTCATCCTCCATTGATTTCTTATTGCCCACTCAACCTGTACGTTGAGTTTAGGGATTATGTGAATCATTAATAAAATCCACTCTTAATTAAAATTAATAAAAAAATATTAAAATATTGAATTGAAATAACCTCCTTATGTAGGGCTTTCTTTATAGCCCACTTGTCAAATGCTTGATGGCCTTTCATCTTGCTCTTCAAATGTTGCTCGGCTAATTTTTTTGCATGTTTCAGTATATTCTCCCCAGGAAATGCAATTTGGGAGAAGCGATACAGGCTGAAGAAATCAGAAATTCCTTTATGCGTCTCACCCATAAAGCATAAGAAATTGCCTTCATCATCCTTGAAGTACTCTAGCATATCTGTTTGTAGTCCAGAATTGTTGGAAATTTGATAAAAATGATTTTGGAGAAATTAGAACAACTAATCAATTAATTTCAAAAAAGAAAATTCTAGAAAAACACATGCAAATATATATATATATATATTTCAGAGGATTATATTGTAGATACTATATGTGAAGATGCCTCACCAGAGGATATGGGATAGCCATGTAACCTTAATAATCTAAGACCCATACATGTATCATCAATATCAGTTATGCTGGCATCGCTTCCCCATGCTAAACCATCTTTCCGAAGTATTCTGCATATTCTCATAAAATTCATTTCTAGTTACCTGACCATATTAAATATATAATAGTCTAAGACCTATACATATATATATATTCTTACCTGTATACGAATTCTAGAGTAATATGAATTTCTTTGCGGAAGTGATGATCTATTCCTAGCCGTTGGATTGTGTCAATCATCCAACAACGCTCAAAAGTATCAACCGGATACAAAGAAGGTGCTGCATGCAAATAATATAGTAAAATAATTCAATATCATGCATTTAAATTCATAGCTAATATATATATATATATATATATATTCGAATATTAGAAATGTGATGTCGAAATATACCACAATCTTGAAATTTCTTCACTATATATGTTAAGTATTCAAGACACTTTTCATCATTAGTGTTCAAATATGCTGCAGCAGTAGCTGAAGGTGAATCTGAGATACTTCCATTCCTACATTGCAGCTTCAGAATTCTATCCCATTGCACCAAATCAGCTTCTATTGCTTCTAATGAGTAAAGCAGTGTAGTTGGAACTGAGTGCAACACTTCCATTGGAATCCTATAGTAGAATTAATATTTTCCATATTCTCAGATAACAAACGCTTAAAAAATATATATAATTGTCATTTTCATCTTTGGTTACCTAGTCATCTTTTCCTCTCTAAGCTTGATGATATGTCTGATGCAAGGGAGATCATATGGAAGGTTGAGCCCAATAACTTTGGCTTCATTAAGCATCGAAGGAAATATTATCTCAAAACCGACAGTTCTTACACCTTTTTCCCCATCAAGATCTTTAATACGTGTTTGTAAAAAATAAAGTCCTGAAGCAAATACAATAGACAAGTAAGCGTGCTTTGCATATATAAGTGCTTATGATAAAACTATTCTACCATTAAGGATGCCTCATTTTATTAATACATTAATAGTCAATAATAAATCATTTTCATCTTCATCATCAGTATTATCCAAATTATTTAAAAAAATGCTAAACTTTACCTTTGGCAATTAGTTCATGTCCTTGCTTCCATTGTGTGAGAGTAATAACACAAGATAAAGTGCAAACAAGCCTGTCATATAAAGAGAAAAAGATGGGCTCCCCCCATGAGCCATCTTCTAGCTGGTTCTTCACTACCCACTCCAATGTCGTTGGAAAATGAGGTTTACTTGGGTCATTCTTGGATGGAATTCTTGCAACCCATGCTGTATCATATGGTGAAGTACTTAACTCGCCATCTCCTATTGATGAGAACATCTCCTTTATTTCTTTTACTAAAATGTTGATTCTCTCTTCTTGTTCAGCCTCGTCCTACCACATGTAAAATAAAACAAGATCATAAAAGTGAACAGTTTAAAATAAAAATCTCTAAATTACACTCTTATGCCAAATAATTTGGCTTGAATTTCTCCATGTACATGGCTACATGAATAATAATGGGAATCATTTAAACATACTTGATCATAAGTGTTTAGCTTCAATGGTGATAGATCCTTCATCTTCTCATCCAATGCTCCTCCTTGAATAACTTTAAGAGCTCCAACACCTGTGAATGCATGAAATAATCAGAAAATGAAAAACTGAGTAAAACTTCGATCGTCATAATATTAATTTGATTCGATATATATAAGAAAATATCAGTACTCATTTAGCTTGCAGAATTGGAAGAATTTTTTTTTTAGTTTTATGGATAGATACCTTTAGGTCTAGTTCTGTAAAAATATGCATTAACAGCTGCAGGAAGCCTACTGTTGCAGAAGTTTAGTGATCTCAGCTTAAGATTACTAAGGGAATAAGATGGTACGCTGGGTTTTGAAAGAAGCATATTATTTGTGAAGCTTCTCATTTCTTCTTCTCCTTCTTCTTCTTTCTTAGTTGAAAGCTTGCTAGCTTACATTCTTTATTTATAGCTGAGGGCCAATGCTCATTTATATTTAAATAAATTTTTGATGCTAAAGCTTTATTATTCTACCTAATTTCTTGTATTTTATAAAAAAAAAATTCTTTTTATCTCATATATTTAATATTTTTTTCCAGAATCAATATTTATGAAGCCAGTAGCAATGCTGGCCCTCTTTATTGTCTTGCTCTCAGATGCAGGTCTTCACCCATCCCAAGCTCTGCTGCCTGCCATACAGAACCTTCATTTTTTTTGTTTAACATCGATTGAAAATATTCCACCTAAATTTAAACTTTCATATAAATGTAAATATGAAAGTTTGGAAGTTTGTTCTGTACGTAAATAAAAGAATTATGTGATCTGTATGTAATATTACTCTTTATATATATATATATATATA